AAAAAAAAAAAAAAAGCCTAAACCACCTATTAAAAGAGTTGGAATAGGGTAAAATGAATGTTGGGTCAACGTAAAAAATGATGGTTGGGTCGTCAACACACAAAAGACATCTAGAAGCCCAATCTAGTAAAAATGAAGTGATTATATTCAATTTAGTAATTGCTTAAAAGGTATCTCAATCTCATTCATTGCAATTTTCAATGTGATGCAACGGTGATCACATTATTTATTAAACAATAAAATGAAATGCAATATTAATCGTAAATTTAATTTTCATAAAAAAAACATACACTAACTAGCCTAATCTTAAATTTTTTACTATAGAAAAAAGGGTATCCCATTCATTCCCATATTTTATGCTGAAAAGGATCAGCAATTCAGCATAAAATAGTCCCACAATGTCATTCAATTCATCTTAATGGAAAGACCAAGACTTTTCAAAAAGTGCAAAATAAAAAAAGCCCGCCCATGCTTACTTGGATTTTACAGTACTTTAAGTACATATCAAATAAAAAAAAGAGAAGGATGTCATTGATAATTTACTATGCCATCTTTTTATAGATCATAAGTTAAACATTATAACCCAAAACAAAATGAAAATTTCAAACAACATAATCCATGATTGCAGATTGAACCCTTGGTTTACTGGTTACGAGTGGCATCATAATTTTTTCTTATAAAATATGTCAACTAATTAATATTTTATTTTATTAAAAAAAAGAGAAATAATATCAAAAATGAAAATTCAATTCTTAATTACATAAATAATAAAATATTTGTTTATAATAAATTTGTAATTTATCCGTCAGTTATTCTAAAACCTTCCTTAGAGGTGTTCTCAAAAGAAAACGAACCTTTCTTAGGGTAAAATTGTAATTTACTCCAATAATAAAAAGAAATGATTTTATATAATTTAATATATTATCAAAATAATTAATTTTTTTAATTTATGTAAAAATTATAATATTAAATATATTTATTTATTTAATAATATATAAAAATTATATAAAAAATTTATCTCTAACACCATCCTATTTTCGTGCAGTCCTGTTTCCATCCTAATCCCGAATGAAGCATGTTTTCTTTCGACAGCGTTTTTATTCTTCTAGATTTTTATGAACCGTAACCAAATATTCGTAAATCCCACTTTGATTTTTTTTTTTT